AACCGAAACCATTTCTGCTTAAAATACATTACATGTGTGCCTCGGCTGCAAAACAGTTCCTTAAAAGATGCTAAAGCACTGATTTAATGAACTGGGTAGTCAGAAAACCCAAGTGCCAGTCTTTTTGCCCATGACCCATTTCCCTGGCCATTCAGTGCGGCAGACAGACTCATTTCCCTCAGTGGGTGGTGGGAGGGATAGCCCATACTTTGATGGTGCCCTGTGCCCTGCCTTGCACATGGACTGGACATGGCCTTGTCTCAGTTTTCCTCCTAGTGTTTTCTGCTGAATGAATTCATCAAAGCTGGTGGTGAAGTTTCCCCTCGGCTTTTGTCCTCATTGGATTCTTTAAGTGTTCAGTACAAGCACGTCTTTACATCACCCTGCCTGAGGTTGAGTATTTCCTCCCAGGAGCTCTGGTTGCTCATGATGGAGGTGAGCCAGGGAGAAGGACAGGGAGTGGGAAAGGTCCCTGTGGAGCTGGGAGAGCACTGGGGAGGACAGTCTGCTGAAAAGAAGAAAAATCAGCAAAGGCAGAGGGAGAGCACAGGGGAAACAGGGTAAACGGGCAAATAGGGGAACTTAGGTTGAGATGAGGTGGAGAAGGTGCTTGGCTGGGGATGATTTTATATGGTGCTTTCAGAAGGATGAGAAGACAACCTGGATGGAGACAGAGAAAAGCCAGTGGGGACAGACAGCTTGCCCAGTTCATTCAGAAATAAAGAGAAAAAGGGAAGTGAGGACATATCTAGAGGGACAGGAGTAGGTAATAGCAATTAATAATAATTACAGAGTGAACCGTGGAGATGTGTTCGCTTCAACTTCAGCACCAGATGACAGCAATCGCTTGTGACCTGTACAGCAGGAGCTACCTGGTAAGAATCACAACTTCTAGAAATTATATTTAAAAGCAAACATTTTGGTCTCCTGCCTCTTTCTTACCCCCCAAACTATCTTTTATTCATTTTTGTTTTAATAGATTCTGTGGGAAGCTAGAAGCACGTTGTTGCTGGGACAATTTCCCACCAATGTATATGCTTTATAGTTCTCTTTATTAAAGTCTTTCTTTTTAAGAAACACAAATTGAAACACTTTGCAATCAGTTACACAGATCAGTTAATATTGGTGACAGTTCCTAAATAATTAAACAAATACTAACAAATTCCAACTGTTTACAAGCCAAAACTTAAATTAACAAGATTATATAAGCTCAATAAATAGTACATCTGGTCCAGTTCAAGTATAATTCAACAAATCACAGCCTTAATCCTTAGAGAATAGAAAAACCCTGAATATAACCAGCCTAACACTAATTTAGTGTTAAAGCCAATATGAAACTTTGTCTAATCTTATGGGGCAAATGTTTAGTTCTTTTATTTTTTACTTGAAAGAAAGAAAAAGTTGCAGATTGACATTAAAGACTATTTGAGATCAATACAGATTTTACAAAGATGAAAAACATAGTCCCTATTCAAAAAGTGCAATCTTTGGTTGAGATGTGTTGAAATGGTTTGTATATATTAAGGAAGCTCCTTTTTAAATACCAATATTTGTTTGGCTAGACCTGAGCCTGCTTTGTGCTATATATATATATATTTATATGTATTAATAAACAGCGTGGATTATAGTGATGATGAATTATGCCAACTAAAAAAAAAAGTAAAGATTTTAAATATAATAAACCAAAAGAAACAACTCATTTTTACACAAGCTGAGAAAGGTAAGTGGCTGCCTACAGTGGCCTTCTTCCTCAACAGAACAGGTAGGAGAGAGACGTTGAGGAGTTGAGTGCCTGTCAGCATTGCATGATGGTCACTTGGAGAGGGAAGGAGTTTATCTCTGAGTTCTCAAAGTGCATCAGGCTGAAAAAGATTAGGAGCTAGCTGAGACTTGGGATTGCTTTTAACTGCTTTCAAATGTTGAGTTTTAGGGGGAGAAAGGACTTTCTCAGAAGGGGAATTGCCTGTTTGGCTGTACCCAGGATTTTGCAGATTGCTGTCATGTCAGGACAGAGCCCAAAGGGACGGGGTGTCCAAACCACTTCTACAAATGTCTGCGTCTGATCACATCTGCGGGGCTGGGCACTGCACCTGCATCACTCACCTGAGTCATCTACCTCCAGAAGAGGAAACTACATAGGGCAGAGATGCCATCTGGAGCCTCCTCCTTCCTCAGTGGCAAGCAAGGGCCTGTATCCATGACCCAAACAAGGTATCTGGAGCCAGGATAGTTCCTGGTGAGCCTCGGTCAAGACTCCAACTTTTAGAGCCCTGGATGAAGACTGAAACCTAAGCAATCGGGGACTGAAGTATACCAAGGCCCACTCTCTCAAGAAGGGATTTTGCGTGTCTAATGCAGCTGGCCAGGAAAACAAAAGAGGTTAAATATGCAAGCTGGGAATAATAGGAGTGAACCTGGTTCAGAACCAGAGGAGGGGGAAAGTAGTTTGAATCATCTCCCGTAAATCTAAAAATAAGCCCCTGGGTAAACACTCATTTTAATTATTCCTCTGCTGCCAGTCAAAATCTCATGGTTACCTACTGCTTTCCCTGCCTGCCTGTATCCACCTGTTGTCTGTTTTCGGAAAGTCTGATTTAAAGCTCTTTGGCCTGGGAAAGTCTTTGTTGTGGATTTGTGCCGTGCCTGTAATAAAGGCAGTGGACCCATAGCTTCTACTGCAATACAAATAAAGAATAATAACAGTGATACTTTTCTCATTTGAGGTTACCTGGGGATAAAGTTGCTGGAGGCACATGACTTTGATATACAGTCAGCTATGTCTCACATCCAATTAAGCCTAACCACATGGTCTAACAAGCTCCTATTAGGCCGGTGAGAGCCCCAGTTTGATAGCAGGGTTAGCTTCAAAGATTTGATGCTTGCATTTGTAGCGATTTCCTTCCCTTGTGCTCAGATTGTGCTGAAGGGCATGAAGGAAACTTCATATTCAGATGATACATGACCAGCTTGAGAGCTGTGCTTTAAAGACAATTGCACAATCCTTACTGCAATTTTCGTAATCTTACAGCTTGCAATACAAGCTCTTGCCCTAACAGCCCCGTGCTCAAATTTCACTGCAATGTGAAAAACAAAGAGTCAAATCAAAACCCAACCCTCGAAGGAAAAATACCTGGTTTGCAATATTACCATTTCTTTTCCATAGGGAAAAACAAACAAACAAACAAAAGCTGTTTTAAATGACAGATGGACCCAAGTCTTAACATAATTCAAGTCTGGCCAAAGGAGGATTTAGGCTGTAATGTTTTTCATTTCCCCTTGTCTTTTGGATAGGCCGTGTCTGAATCTGGGATGCAAAGAATCCGTCAACTTGCAAGAAGCAGGAATTCCAAATATGAAATCTGAACCCACCTCTGGTAAAAACGAGTGGGAAGCACAGGCCATGAAATGGAACAGGGCTTCAGGCAACAACACTAGGCACTTCTGAGACTCCCTGCCTGGCTACAGGCTGCTTCAGAGAACAAGCATGGCTGCTGGCACAAGACATAATGGAACAAATACTTTGGTGGAAGCAGTTTTGGCAATTTAGCCACTCTGCGATATTTTGTGACATCCATGTTATTCTTAGGGATGGCTAGAACCTTCTGGGAAACTATTTCCTCCGGACAACATCTGAACAGGACATCCAGCACCAGCAATTTTTACAGAACATACCGTGGTGAATATTAGAGTCAGGCAAAGAATGGAAATACGCCTGCAAATCCCCATCTGTCTACGTTGCATGGGACACTCTATAAAAGCATAACTCCAGGATCAATTCTGGCAATGGTTTGTGTACGTATTCACTTTACTACACAAAGCCCTATTGAAATGAACCAGAAACTTGTACAGTGCATTTCAAAGGGACTCTGCAAAATACTAAGCAACAACTGTGCAGAAACAATAGCTCATAATAATGCCAGAGCTGCTGGTGCATCCTGTGTTCTCAGTGCAGCACTCTGTGAGCCACCAGTTGTTGTATTTGCCTTAAAAAATTCAGGGAAATAAAATACAAAAACAATATTAAAAGTCTGGCATCTTTCCATGAAAACCAGGAAAAGTCAACATTGCCAAGCCGAGGGAAAGCAAGGTTGAAAGAAAACAAAAAGACACCAAAACCAAGGATCTTGGATAAAATGTCTAAAAGAGACATGGTCCAAACATGTGGCACTTTAGAAAGCCTCTTGTGAGAGTTTCAAGTCTGTAAGACTCAAAGTTGGCACCCTTTAGAATTATCAAAAAGAAGAGTTTCAAACACAACGGTACCTGGAGGACACCCTGATCACACCATGGGAAATGTTGAAAACCAGAGCAGGTTAGCTATCAGCACGTGTATTCAAATTGCTCTCGCTGTGCTAGGTTCAGGCTAGAAGGTCCCTCGGACAGACTGTGGCTCCCTCTGCATTCGTACAACACAGTCAGTGTACAGTCAGTGCTTAACAACACAAACACATCATTTCACTGAGCTCTTAAGACACATGGAGGTGGGTGCTGATGGGGTTTATATCGTGCCATCTATTGACTAGTTTTAACACAATGGCTTTAGATGTCCTATGCAAATCCTACTTCTCACTGGGGCAATGAGTGAAAAAAGCTAAATGATACTTTAAGCAACATTAAAGCCTATTTATAGTCACATCTCCTTTCCTTCCAGCGTCCACTGGAGGATGCTGAGTGCTTCTAAATACTCTGCCTGACCTGATGTGTCACATCAGAATTAAAACTTTAAGAATCCCTGAGAATTCTGATTTAATCTAGGAAACCACTCCCAGCACGCACAGTGTGAGAAAGAATTGCTCCACTTCTTACAGATATGCCAGCATTGCTTCACTGTGGGAAACAGTTTCAGGCATTTTGGTTTTTAATGGCACTCTGGGCATAGATGCATGGAACATGCTCTTTATTTCCCCTCCTCTGTACAGTGCAAATTGACAGTTATATCACAGAAATTAAAAAAAAAAGTATCAGCATTCACTCATTATAGCTCTTCCAGTTCATCCGCATCATAGTTTTTTCTTCGCAAAGTGAGGAACAATGCCAGTGTCATCCTGAGGCAGATGGCTGCCTTCCTCCTTCATTTTCAGACTCTCTTCTGCAAGCTGGGATAGATACTTCTGCAATCATATCGAAAACAAAGCCTCATTACCAAAACTGAAAATACGCAGCATGGGATGCTTTATGCCTTTTCAGAGCTCTCACACTCTCCCAGCATCTCAAGAAAGAGGAAAACACAGAGAAGACCCAGTTTGGTGAAAATTCAAGCCAGGAAACATAGCTGTGTCAGGCTAACTACCTTAATACATGGAGAGCCTGAAAAGTTCAGTGATTTACTCTGTGCCACAAGGGGAACTGGTGACAGAACCAGGAGGACCATGACCCCCAATCAGCCTGTGTAACTAGACCTCACCTTTCCTCCTTGCAAACTCTCTACTCCCACATGCTATAGGGCAGGAACTAACTCCATTGAGTCAAGTGAATTATGCTAGTGTAAGACTGGTGTGTCAGAAAATAGATGCAGTTTCTGAGTCACAATTTAAAGCATATATACTACATTTTCAGCATGTCCAGTTCAGAGATACACCTTTTGCACAAGAACATTTGTTTTAAGGGAATAATCAAACTCAGTAATAATTAACACAATTTAGCCATCTGGTTAGAGTATTTACATTTATTGTGTTTCTCTAAGATAAAGTCTTTCGGTGCTTTAAGTACTCAGTGTGATTTAAAAATGCAGACATGGCCAATGGGGCTCTTAGCCTTTTGGCAGTGGTCTTAATCAGCAGACCTGCACACAAAACGGACGATGAATTGCTATGGGTCTGCAAGTGGTGCTCAAAGTATTTATTGAAGGTCAACAGACCTAGAAATGGATGGAAAAAAGCTTCTTCTGCAGCAGCTAGTCTAGAGAGACACATGGGAAATTCCCACATAATAATGTAGAGATGTTCTTATTAATGACTTGTACATATATCACATTCAAGAATAACTTAACTGCACATTATTAGGATCATAAAACTCACTTCTAACTGATTATTCATTTTGATTTCTTTCGAAAAGACCATCTCACATCACTGCAAAATTTTATCTATTTGCAGGATTCCCCCAGAGTACAGTTTACTCTGGCATCCATGGGGAAGAGGTGAAATGAGAAATGGATGTAAAAAAACTAAGGGCTGTGTTAGGACTGCCAGGTTGTCTCACATAAATACAAGTTTTGGATGTAAGAGGTACATCTGAAAGGGACTCAAGTAATAGTAATGATACCTGTGACAAAATGACGACTGCACCTCTGTTAGTCTGACTATAGAGATGTGGCTGTGGAAATTACACAACTCTCAGTCTTGATCCCTGGGTACAAAATTCCACATGGCAGAAAGCCAGAGTAAACATTACAGTAGTATACAGAGATATAGGGTCCATACAGGCTGGGAGAAGTGATCCGTACACCATGAACTGTAATAAATCACTAACGCTTGTCATTGGATCAGATAACCCATGCATTTTTGTTTTTTAATGATTACCCACCAAAAAAAGACGGAAGTTTATCCATCACCTTCAGCTGATGTTGTCAGCTATCCTAAGTACCACAAACACCAGTTTTGAAGCTCACAGACCAGATATCCAGACTAATTTATAGCCAAATGACAGTCAAGGAAAAAATATTTTTTCATTTAAATACAAGTTTTGATGAATCCCACATAAAGCCAGTGAAAAACAGGGTTAAATGCTGCACCGAGTTGCCAAGGTAGCTTACACCAGATGAGTCTGACAGCTTTTTGTGGCTGTGGTGGGAGGAATGGCCAAATGATGGATTTTTTGGACATGGAACATGCAGTGCATCTGTAAATATAAATACCACCTGGTATTAAATATAAATACCAATAATGTATTAAGATGAAGAGAATGGAAAATTACAAAAAGTCTGCAAGGCTGACAAAGAAACAGTTGAATGTTATTCAGTATTGCTGTTCTTCAAGGGACACCATACTCAGATGAAGTTGACTATTTACTTCAAGACAAAATCCTCATCGTCTAAGCAAGGATTTTGGAAGAAAACTGGTAAATAAGCTGTATAGTTTTGCGTTCAAATGCAAACACTGAACATATAATTTGGATGTAGCTCCAAAAAGATCACACAAAAGACACCATGCAGCAAATCAACTATAAAAGACTTATAGCCATGAGAGCATCTGGGACAATGTCATTGTCATCGGACAATGGTATTTGTCATGTAGGCAAGACAACAGGAAGACAGTCTGCAGCAGCAGTCCCATAGCTTCACATACAGTAAAACTCAGAGTCCATAGTTCTTATGTTGGTGGATATACTCATTAAACTGCATCATCAAAGGTGGAGACTGACATTTCTGGCAGAGTTCATAAATAAGAATTATTGCAACTAAAATGGTACTAGTAATACAGAACAATTATTTAAAATTTGCTAAGTTTCCACTTGAGTTGGGCAAAAGTTGGATGAGACTTCTACTTCTTCTATTTAGTAAGGTAAGAGTATGGCTTGACAGAACAGTCTGTTTCATTCCCATATTTGATATATTTAATTTTAACAACTTTTGTGGTCTTTGTTCTTTTATCTCAAGTCAGTGTTAGATATCTACTGCAGCACTCATGGGAAATATCTTAGCGGGGAGAAAAAGAAGGTTTTTTTCACTGATTCAGTTTTAGCTGGACCATTTTTGTATGACTTTGACAAAAGAACATAGAAAATGGAAAAAATTCCTCTTCTTCCCATGGGACCAGATGCCACGGACAGGGACTGCAGTATACAATCTCTGCTTTAGCACGAGTTTCTTTGGGACAGACTCACGTGGGGTACACAGCCTGCACCGAGTGATGTCACCTTTGGTGAATTCCTCTGGACTTTCTTGTATGAAGCAAAAAAAAGACTTGCAAACTGGGCACCTGTTTTTCAAGCTTACACTTGGAAGATCCATTATTAACAAGCATCACAGCTCTGTGGGCACAGTCCTCGAAAGCCAGAGGCATTTGTATGATTACAGCTATGTAACTTCAGGAAAGTCAAGAACATTCTCCCAGAGAAATTATATGACTCTGAGTGTCACTAAAAAAGC